ATAGCTAATTCTGTCAAAAAAATGAGTCAGGGAATCTAATTTTAAACTGTAAAAAATGTCCCACAGAGCCAATTGGTGCATGGCAAACATAACAGTGTGATATGCAAAATCCATCTCCCAAAAGGGGAGGTCTAATTAAACTTAAATTGATTGGATTGAGCAGCTTAGCTCAGCAGTGATATTTTTTGTGTCCTCATATACAGGTATTATTAGACATGAAACAACACAAACAGGACAAATTTTGAGAAACAAAACCTACACCAACAAATTACAGTAAAGTAACCAAACAAAATGCTAAAAAAATCAGAGCATTTATAATATTATAAGTATATGGATAAGTTACATAATTTGATTTTATCAACAAGCTCATACCTTTGGCATGACACAACAAGTATATGGATTAAGTATATGGATAATTTACATAATTTGATTGTACCAACAAGCCCATACCTTCGGCATGACACAACATGAAGCAAGATTAACTTGATTGATTTCAGGTTTGATCTGGAAAGAAATAAAAAACAATTAGCAGCAGTTAGCAAGAGGATTATATACATTCATACATGCCAGTGTACATAAACTATGCAAGTGTTTAGGTTGCAGTGGGTGGAATTTTTTTATTTGAAGCTTAAAGTTTTTTTTACCCAGAATTTCAAGCAAGAAATTTAAACTAGCAGTGGCAAAAATACAAATTAGATGAAATATGAGTTACATCATGAGACAGTACAGGTCATCAAGTATCAAGGACCCAGCAAGTATACTTGGCCAATGTGGTGAAAATGCCAAAGGTCTAAAATTTCTGCTGAAAAAACTTGTTTAATGTACAGTGTAACACAAGGTGTGAAAACATACCCTTGCCCATTCATAAAGTTTTTCCAGTGCATTCTTGTCCAAGTCACAGACACCCAGACTGCACACATATCCACTGTCCATCAAAACCTCCATTTCCTATATAATGATTATGATTAAGTCATCAAAATGTATCAAACTCAAAATCTTATACTGGAAATTATTGCCTGGTACATGTCTAAGAAGCATGCGAGATGTGCACACACAGCAAATAAAGTGCAGAGTGATCTGCCAATATACAATCATGTAATTGCACAAAACATTTAATAATCTGGTATCTGTCTTTTTTTTAAAAACATACCTCCCAGAAACCTTTCAGAGCTGAGAGCTGCTCATCATCTGGAATTTCAGGCAATGCCAAAATCAATGTTTCCACAAAATCAATTCCCAACTCACACATGGCTATAGGAAAAAAAATTTAAGTTTTAAAAGTTATGTCAAAGAAATTTGATATAATTGTTAATCAGTGTTAATAATCATGATAAAACACAATATTGCATTTTGGCAAATAATACCAGATCTTAGCAAAAACTGCGTATGGTACATACAGTTTTGGCTGTTGGACAAACAGCCTCTGTGGAGTGCAGGAGAAAATCTAAAATCCAATTTGACTAGTGTGTTATGGGCAAGTCAGAAACAAACTTTGCTTGCCCTTAAAATGTATTAGCCCAAGATGAAAATATTGCACTTCAGACTAAGCTGGACTTCTCTCTAAAATAAAATAATTTTTCTTGTACAGCAAAGGCTCATAACAGGAATCAGTCAGTTTTGATATTTTAAAAAGGGAGGAGAAATGCCATTGCAGACTATCATTTTTGCTTGAGGCCATTCACACAATAATGGAATCTGCTGGCAAACAGTTGTCTTTGTGTTATTTCCTTTTCACTCTATAATTTTTTTGTGGTTTTAACCTCATCTCCTGCCAATAATGCTCACTACACTGGATGTAAAGAATCATTGACATGCATATTATCAGTCTCACCTCTAAATAATGCATCTTGGACAAAGGCAGGGTTTAGTTCAATGGCAAATATCTTCACTGATGGATAAAATAAGAGACAAAACCAATAAAGATATCATATTGATCATTTCCCAAGGTTTAAAATATATCTTCAATTTTGTGAGATTGAAACTTTTGACAAGTGTTCTATTTGAAAAGATACTAAAGCTTGCAAATACACTATCAGTTTCATTGGAAATATGATGGGTCTTCAACCAAAGATAAGCATGTGAGGGAATCTTTGTTTACATTTTTTGGCTCATTGGCATAAGCTCTACAGTTTCCTATCAAGCTGCAAAAATGTTGCTACAAAATTATTGAAGCATAGGACATATCTTATACCCTTCTTTGAAATGTCCAGTCTGATACATCTAAAATTCGATCAGCCAGAAGATGTTCAAAAATAAGAAAGTATCACAAAGAATGCATGTGATCATTGGTATTAGCACCCAGAAAGTTTTAGAGTTTTACAAGTTTCAAACTCTAAGTCATCATGCTATTTCAACTTTTGAAATAATTTGGTGTGTTTTTCCATGAAAACATGTATACTAATGAAGAAAAATGTAAACAATGCAAATATTTTTTTTATCAAGAGCAAGTAACAATACAAGATTGAAATGTTACAACAAGATTGAAATGTTACAACACCAGAATACAGTGAATGCATGACTAAGACAACTTAAATACTCCCTTTATATGACAGGTATTGTAAGCAATACAAAGTTGAGAAAATAACAATGTACTTATTTCTCCAAGCAAGGTTAAAGAAATGTAAATGTCTGAGTTCTTGTCATGAATATTAATAAGTTTTGTTCCAATTGAAATAAATGAACAGAGTTAGTTCTAGACAAAACAGAAACATAGTATAGGGTATCTATTATTTCTGGGTGACAGCTCAGATGAAAAAAAAATTGCAGTCATTGAGTTTACATTATAAGCCCATCATCTGTCCTCTTCTCCCAGTGCTTACAGTGGGAGCAAAACAACTTCCATACGTGCTTAGACATACCTGAAATTTTGAGATGTTCCCTTTCTCCTCGTTCTATTTTCTCCACAAATTTTTTGTTTATACATCTTAAGGCCTTTTGCTAAAATGCAAAATGGAAAGTTTTGTATCAAAATGTAACCATAATTTCTCAGGGTGAAAGGGTAACCAAATGATCATCTACAGACTAAACCCTGAAATTCTTATTCCAAAGTTAGGGGTAATACCTTAAGGGGGGCACTACATCAAACACTTGCACAAAATACAAAGGTTAACTTAACCTAGACACACTTAATTCAACTTACTGGAACAAATTCCTGATCATTGTTGTTCGTGGGAAGCAAACTGTTCAACGTTGTTCCAATGCTCTCTGAAAGCTGTGATGAAAAATATGCAGTTAATTTTGTAACAGAGCAGTTATGATACAAACCATGCTTCTTTTCAATAGTAAATGACTTCCTTATCGTACTAACTAGATACTAAGCTCTATCACTGTCAACATGGTCAACTTCAGCCTCACTCCAAATCAAAGGCTTGGCAACTAAGTACACAACTTAATACAAGAAATTGCGATATTATTAAGCTAGGATTTCGCATTATGTTTCCCTTTTTAAATTTAAGTTAAGGGGAGCAAGAGTTAAAGAATTCCTACACATGTGTTTGCAAACTGTTAGTTGATCGCACTAATCATTTCTTCAATTTATTTTCAAAATTGCATTGATGTTGACTAAAGCTGACATGTTTCTGCAAGTGAATAAAGGGGTTAAGTTTCTAAAGAAAGTGTGGTGCTGCATCGGTGGGAGAGTATAGCGGGTAATTTAGTGTTAACAACTGAGTTGAAAACGTAAACTGGCCTCCGCAAAGAGTTTAAAGGCTGACGTTTCGAGCATAAGCCCTTTGTCAGAGTGACTGAAGGAATTGTGGGTTGTGTGTGGGTTTATAATTATGTAGAAAATGGAGCTACCCTATTGGTGGGAATATGGGGATGAGTAAACAAGAATAAATTAGGTGAAGAAAAAGCACTCGTTGATACCGTGGGGATTAACTCATGCTATCAATGAGCGCTTTTCATACACCTAATTCATTCTTGTTTACTCGTCACCATATTCCCACCAATAGGGTAGCTCCACTTTCTGCATATAAACCCACACACAACACACAATTTCTCCAATCGTTCTGACGAAGGGCTAACACCTTTAAACTCTTCACGGTGGCCAATTTACATTTTCAACTCAGTTGTCAACACTTACATGTTTCTGCATGGCTGACTCAGGAAATCACGTTCACCTTGACTTGTTTAGCTGAGCTAAGATACGAAAACAATTTAAACAGAAAACTTGTCGGATAAATTTGGAACGACAGTAAATTTGACTATCGCTTTCTCGAAAGCAAAAAACTGATTCTTTTGTTCGAAAAGTAAATGAAGGCGAGAATATCTTTTTGTAAATTGGTTTTAAAGCCCAGGGCTTGTCGGCAGAAGTTGCTTTGTCACGATCAGGTGAATTTCATGTTTCATGACCTCATCCTCTACACCTAAACAAAAATCATCAGGAGCTTAGGATGAAAAGAACTTTTTGCAATTCAGAGCCCATACAAGAATAACAAATTTGAAAAAAATACATAAATACCGCGATCGTTTAGTGCATTAATAGAGGATTAGTTCACTTGTTCATCTAAGTTTCTCGTGCAGATGGACGATTTAAGCGAAACGCCCATTGAATGAGGGTGACTCAGCGAGAAAAGCTTTAAAACTTTTTACGTTTGTGTGGGAGAGAAAAATGGACTTCAAGCTTTCGAAAGGTGAAAAAAATGCCCTTTTTCAACATGAAGACGAATAATTTATAACTTATCTTTTCCTGAGCCACGTTATATTGTTACCGCTAACATCGATGATCAAACTTACTTCATCCGCAGAACTTGGGGTGGTTTTCCTTTTGATTCTATTCCAATTGGAAATGTTTCCTCCGTGTATGTACAGCTTCTTTACAAATTTAAGACTTTCTCCTGAGCTCGATTTCCCATTCAAACTGTCGTTTGTCATGCATTCATTTATGTTATCAGTGTTAGCCATATTCCACTTGTGTGACTGTGTGACTGAACACCGCCGGCTTGTGTCGAATACAGGTAAACAGCAACTTCCCAGGTGACTTTGCCGGTGTACGTGTCACGGTTTCTCTCTAACTAGTGAAAACCTCTGGCCGATGATCTGCTCTCCTCTGCAGTACTTTTTCGTTTTATTCGTACTTTAGACTTTTCAAACAATCAATAGTTCTATATTTACTGCTAATGTAACAATGTCAGCTGAGGTGGAGGGTATTTTGAGATCATTTTGGGAGTGGCGTTTACGAGAGAGCCCAGAATTCGCCACTCAAATTGGCGTGCACACTTACGATAACAAATTGGATTGTCACAGTTTGGAGGCGTATGTCAAAAGACAGGTACTGCATTCGATTGTTGTTAATATCACATGATTTTCTGAAAGCTGAAAAGTCCAAACAACAGTAGTTTCACTTCTCCGGGTGCACAAAATGCCCTTCGACTTATGGAATAAATAATCGATTATTGATTGGAGTCGAAGTATAATTTTTTAAAAACTACGTTTATCGCGTGTAGATTGAAGCTAATAAGCGTAAAACCTGTGTGATTATCTTCAATATTTTCGCGATTTTATTGCCTCTTAATTTTTTTTAAAAAAATGGATTTTACTGAACTTCATTTCCACTTCCGCAAATAGAGAGAATCTGAAACCTATTTACAAAAGCTAAATAGGACAGCAATCACAACACTCATGAAATAGTATAGTATTTAAGGCTATTGAAGAACAGCTGTCTGTTGGAACTTCACACATTTATTACTGAATCAGTTCAAATTGAACATTACAATTCAGGGTAGAATTTCTGCACAGCCCCATACTACATTATGCATTCAGTTCTTGGATAGAGAAAACAATGACAAAAACAATAGATTGCCATTAGGAAAAGAGATTTGTTTTACAGTAGTATGGGGCTGTGTGGAAATTTTACCCAATTCAGTTTACAGATAGGACATTGCCCTCGTCCCCTTTTTCCTACAACAAAAGAAACAAAAACATTTAAACAGGACAAATGATTTGATAATTAAAGGATGCGATTTATTGAGTGATTAATAATGGTAATTGAACTGAGTGGAAGGCAATTTGGGCTGAAATCGTATGCATGATTTAAAAATTGAACGAGCGCACAGCGCTCATTCGATTGGAAATCCCAAATATGATTTCAGACCAAAATTGCATGACAAGAGGTTCAATTGCCACTTTACTACATCCATTTTGAAATCACTAGAATACAGGAATTGGTCAGTTCAAATATTTTATTGATGCAGTACTGAGCTGGTTTGAAATTAAATTCATCCATTTTTGGGGGGGAAAAAATAAGAGCTTTGGAAACAAAAGTTGCAAAATTTGCAATGATACTCTTTGTCTTTTATTTTCCTGCAATTTGATTGGTTACTTTAAACAAGCCTTGAAATCTGATAGGTTGTTTTGTTTTTAGTGTAGCCTCCTCATTGGCTGGGAAAAAGATGCGATTTAAAGCAAATAATGGTGCAATTCATGAATAAATCACACTAATTAGAGCCAATCAGATTACAGAGACCACCAGTGATTTCAAAATGTGTGTAATAAAGTTATTAAGCTATTGGTTAATATGGTGAATTCTGAGTCTGACTTATCGTTGAGTCTGGATTATATTGACCAAATTGCTAACCAAGGCAGGTAGCTTATAAATGGTAAAATAATGATCATGGAAGTCTGGACTGAAAGGTCTTGATTATCAGCCTTGCTCAAGGACATTGCTTTTCAAGGCAAAGTGAAAATCTTTCAAGGATCTTTAAGGATCTTACAAGATCTTCATGAGGACCTTTGAGGATCCTCTTGAGGATCTTCATGAGGATCTTCAAAATTCTTGTTAAGATCTTCAAGGATCCTTCATTTTCTTGTCAAGATCTTCAAGGATCTTTCATTTTCTTGCCAAGATCTTCAAGGATCTTTGATTTTCTTGCCAAGATCTTCAAGGATCCTTCATTTTCTTGCCAAGATCTTCAAGGATCTTTGATTTTCTTGCCAAGATCTTCAAGGATCTTTGATTTTCTTGCCAAGATCTTTGAGGATCTTTGACTTTCTTGCCAAGATCTTTAAGGATCTTTCATTTTCCTGTCAACATCCTTGAAGATCTTGCCTGGATCTTCAAGATCTTTACATGAACTTTGAAGATCCTTTAAAGATCTTTGAAAATTCTTTGAGGATCTTCCAAATTCTTGTTAAGATCTTTGAGGATCTCTCATTTTCTTGACAAGATCTTCAAGGATCTTTTTGAAAATTTTGAAGATCCTTAAAGATCTTGGAAAGAAAATAAAAGACCCTTAAAGATCTTGGCAATAAATTGAAAGATCTTTGAAGATCTTGGCATAAAAAAGAAAGATCCTTGAAGATTTTGACAGCCAAATTAAAGATCTTTGCAAGAGATTTGAAGATCCTTAAAGATCTTGACAAGAATGTCAGTGAACCTTGAAGATCCTGGCAAGGAAATGGAAGATCGTTGAAGATCTTAGCAAGAATGTTATAGAACCTTCGAAATTTTGACAAGAAAATAAGCATACTTAAATCCTCATACTAAGTTAAAAAGAAAAATTGAACCAAACATAAAAAAATGAAGATAAAACTTTTTTTTATTGCTAAACGAGAATTACCCATCCTCTTCTAGTAGGACTACTTCTACACTATTTCTGTTCAGACTTTAGGTTAGTACTAAGATTTTCATTTTCCAAAAAATCTGGCAACAGTCCAGCTCAAAGATAAGAAGACCAAAATATATGTGTTAAACTTGTCTAGGACTAGACTATGACCAGACTCAGACTACTCTTACAGAGGGGGTAAACATGAAAAAAAGGCAAACAAGAGTACTTCAATGACTATATTTCTGAACCATATTAACCTATATACCAAAGGAAAGCTTAGGAATCACACATACTGAATATAACTAATATGTTGCCCTAAACTAATTTGTTATTTGACATCAGATCAATTTGTCCACCACATGGTGTGAAAAACCTAGGTAAACTTGAGAAAAGATAACTGCACAAAGATTGCATGAAATCAAGTGTTTTTAGTGTCAAAACAAAGTACTAGGGTCGTTCTTTTGGATGAGCTGAGGAACTTTTGGAGTCGTTTATATTATGGGCACAATGCCCGTTCAAAGTTCACCGAGATTATTAGGTGAGTTATTCCACAACATCTTACTTAAAATTCAGCTTATAGAGAAACTGTCAGCTTATCCAACTCAACTCAGTAAGAGGATACAGCCCTGAAAACTTCAGATTAATTGAACTAATACATCCTGAGGTACAAAATAAGTGTTTTCGGGAATTCATATGACAACCTCTAAAAGAGCTTTTTAAGTTGGTTACACAGAACCAAGTAAATTCACACCTTCTTCAGAAACATGTCCTTCAGTGAGCGTCGAGGAGAATCTCTCTAGATCGATAAGCCTGTATCCTTGTCCCTGTAACACATCATTTGCATCCTCACTCTCCAAGAGCTCAGAGTAAGAATCATTAGGCGAGGATGGCATCTTCATTTTCTTTCCAGAAGTACCAATGAATTCTTTTTATTCAGCCTCACAGTCAGAGCAATCGCGAGACCTGCTTGGAGTTTGATTGACGATTTCGGTTGTTTCTGTCTCTCTTTTCGCTTGTTTCTGAACTCCAGAAAACGCCTTTCCTTTACCTTTATTTCTGTGTACATTTTCCCTTTAGTTCCGACCATTGTCGATGATATTTGCCGTAAAAACGAGCTTCTTATGTTTTTATGCGACCGTTAAAAATCTCGGCGCGTATAAATTCCTATCCCATAATGCAAAACCCTATTTGTTGTCATGTAAGTAGTCACAAAGTTTCCCGAAAGCCTCGAGCATGGCGTTGCTATGCGGTAACCTTCATTACACTCATTGCACAATAATTTTCTGCGAAAATTCCTTGTTGTGTTTAAATTATAAAACAGTGAGCCCTCAATTTACAATTTTGTTATGTTTGAAATTACTTGAGGATTTCAAAGGAACCTAAGTCATAATGCAGAGATGTGGTAGAGATCTTGACAAAGTTGCCTTTGAGATCCACATCAAATTCAAAAAGGATCCTTACAAAGAGCTGTACAAAATCATGAAATGAATCTTTTAAAGATATTTGGAAGATCCTTTTCAATTCCTTGAGGATCTTAAAGGATTGTAGAACAGTCTTTAAAAGATCCTCATTAAATCCTTGAGGATCCTGAAGGATCCTTGAAAAGATCCTGCAAAGATCTTGACTTAAGGATCCTTGTAAGATCCTGATCAAATTCCTAAGGATCCTGGCAAAGATCTTTACAGGATCCTTGAAAGGATCTTTTGTAGGTCTTTAAAAGATCCTCATTAAATCCTTGAGGATCTTGAAGGATCCTTGAAAAGATCCTGCAAAGATCTTGACTAGGATCCTTGCAAGATCCTGATTAAATCCTTAAGGATCCTTACAAAGATCTTGAAAGGATCCTTGAAAGGATCTTTTGAGGGTCTTTGAAAGATCCTTGCTAAATCCTTGAGGATCTTGAAAGATCCTTGAAAAGAACTTTGTGAGGATCCTTATGAGGATCTTTGTAATATCCTTTGAGGATCTTTATCAAATCCTTGAGGATCTTAACAAACGTTTTTGCTTACAAAGATCTTTGAGGATCTTTTACAGATCCTTTAAAGATCTTTTAAAGATCCTTGTCCTTAAGGATCTTTGGCAGGTCTTTGTCAATCCTTGAAGATCCTCAAAGATCCTGTGAGGTTTTTCACCAGGGTCTGCTTTTGATGTTAGGGGCTGTTTTGTGAGGGAAGTTTTTGAGGCAGAGGGTGTGGAGGGTACTATCCTTCATTTATATAAATATGTATGTCATTCTGTTCATTATACTGTAAAGTTTCTACATTCAAGAATTGTTCATGTTAAAGCCATTTGTCTCAGCCAATGTTTGTTTTGCATATTGATTTGTTTCCAGACTGATGCTTTGAATGTAAAACTTCTTGAAAGAGAAATCCAGACATATTTAGATGGCTGTGGCCACAAGAGGTTGGTTGATGTTCACATGTACAGTTTTAGCAGGCTCACTTCAATCAGTGGAGTATGCTCTTGCTACTCTCAAGCATTCCTTATCCCACCCTCCCATCTTTCTTCCAGTGATCCAGTCATGAATGTTGATGGTTGCCTGAAATGAGTAATCATGGCTGGGTTGCACTAATTTGCCACCCATGGGAATGGTGTAGCTGGGATCTGGCAAGAAATGTGGGAGTCTCAAGAGATCCAAGGCACCTTCACCTTCCCATAGGTAATTGCCTGAATGTGTAGAGCACTCTATATTTCCTTTACTGAGTACTGGCCTATCTCAAGCAGAACCTGAGAAACAGCTCTGCGCAGACCTGTTGAATTTTATTACAAGGTTGTTCTGTAGGTTGTAATGCAGATGCCAATGCATTGGAATATATTGAGCTGGATTCATGACCATCTCAATGCAATGTTGTGTCCATGGACCAGACCCTTTACTGTCACAGTGCTTCTTTCTGGTCAGGAGTATCAAATGTGTTCCAGAAAACTCTAACCACTGCATCTTTTGTTGCATAACCTTTTCAGCTTCCTGTTCCCTGTGATAAATTTGGAAGGACCTCAGCTAGAATTTGGAAGATTGATTTCTTGGATGAAGTTTGAAACAAAAGATGACTATGAAAAGTACCTGTCAAGACTAGAAGCTTTCCCCACTCAGGTACATGTACAACTGTTAGCTACAAATAACAAAAGAACTTTGAGTTACCACACTTTTGCTATGAATTCAGTTTTTTCAAGGACTCAACTACATTTTATCATTGCTGTAGGCATCTGAAATAATTGGATTACTTGAAGAGGGAGTTAGGACACACCATATACCACCACGGCTAACTGTGGTAAGACCTTTTTTTCTTTTTGAACAAAAACTATTGAAGTAACAACTACTAGAGCTATGTTCTGATCAGCACAGAAAAAGTATGTGTGCAATACATGTATGAAAAAAAAAATATTATGTGCAACACATGTATGTGTCTGTGATGTTCTGAAACCTTTGAGGAGAAAATGCTTTTGCAGTAGTAAAAAAAGCTTTGAAAGTTATGAATTCTCTATTATATTAGAACTACTCTAATGGGAAAATGTCTGAAACAAAAAATTTCATAGTACATGCATAGTTGTAGAAGGTTGTGTTTTGATTTATTTGTATATTTTTGTCGTTTTTAGGTACATGTGCCTGATCAAATCCAAAAAGTGTTGAATGCAGACTTCACAGATGATAATGATCTCTCTAAACCACTGAAAAAGTTTCCAGAAACATTTACAGAGGAGGAGAGGTAACTGATTCAATTTACCAATGTGTGCTGTTAAAGTAGTGCAGTCACTAGTTTATAAGGATATTTAAACTGAACAAAACATTCATTCGATAATTATGCTTGTTGATAGTTCATAAATTTGCTTAAAATTCATTTGTAGAGTTATTTACCCTAAAGCTGTTTTCTAGGGAATTGTTTAGAGGGCGTGGTCTGAAACTAATAGAGGAGAAAGTCAAGCCAGCTTTTAAAAAGATTCATGATTATTATGTGGAAGTAAGTAAATCATTGAAAAGTATTTTACGAATATATTTTGTGCAAGCTCATCACAAGCGCGATTTTTCATAATTATTGTTAAGATAGTGTTTTATTGTTTTGGATTACTGCATTTTCAATAAACATAATTCAATGGCCGACCCGAACAGAACGACCGACTTTTACTGACTACCCAAACTGACCAATTACAACACCAAAGTTAAAACGTACCATTCAGTTTTACTTAACTAGACTTTTTTCCAATTTTTGGGTTTTTTTTTTTCTGCAGAAGTATCTTCCTCATACAAGGGAGTCCATTTCATGCACTCATTTTCCAGGTGGAGATGACTTTTACACACAGGTAAATAATAAAAAAAGGTGTTTTGACGTGCGAGGGTTAAAGACAGTACTTCAAGGAGAAGATTTTTGGGAAAAACCTCCTATCCCGTTCCTGCAGGCTGTGAGCTGTTCTTGCTCTAAAAATATAATGGCCAGAGATTGCCGTGATTGTTTATTGTCAACACTTCTTATCCAGGCCTTAAAGTTCCACATTGCATGTGACATGTCAGCGAAGGAAGTCCACGATCTTGGTCAAAAAGAAGTTAAAAGAATAAGATCCAGAATGGATGAGGTAAGAAAATCCCGTGTCTCGTGCGGCGAGATCCGCGAGATTCGAGCTCTCGCAGATCCCTCGTAGATCTCTCGTAGATTCCTCGTAGATCCCGTGTAGACTCTTCGGAAACCTCTCGTAGACTCCTCGTAAACTCCTCGTAAGCCCCTCGGAGACCTCGTAGACCCCTCGAGAACCCCTCGTAGACCCAACGGAGACCCTTCGCACGCTCACTTCCCTCACGGGCTCGAAACCCGCGGGCTTCCCCGCTCGTGTCGCCACACTGATGAGAGTTTAAAAGAAACCAAACCGAACTAAACGTTTGGAAGATAGTTATTTGAATGAAATAAATGTTGGAATATACCAGATTCGACAACTCCACCTACGACACAAACATTTCGTGCGATGTCTTAAAAAATAGTGTTGGGGTTTTCCATTGCCTGCGAACCGAGGAGACTACAATTTTAAATGGCGTCGATCGGTTTAAGATGCCGTTCCCCTTCGACACCATTCGATTTAATTACGGTCATAATTTTTGCCTCGTTGGAGTTGTTTTTATCTACCGTTGATCGTCTTCAAGCTTGAATTATTTATTGGCTTTTGTTTGGTAGAATAGAAGTTTCCCTCCAAGTTGACATTTCAGGCCGTTTTCTTTTTCCTTAGATTATCAAGGAAGTGGGTTTTCAAGGCAGCTTTAAAGAATTTCTCGATATGCTGAGAACAGAGAAGCGTTTTTATTTTGATACGAAGGTAATGTTATGTGGGTACTGAAAATGGGGAGAAAAGAACAAAATCTAAACTAACTAAAGGTCATTGCTTTTTGTCATCGTTTTCCTTGCAGGAAGAACTACTGAAAGGTTATAAAGATTTATGTGCGAAGGTTATCGAGCCAAAGTTGAATGTTTACTTCAAAGAAATGCCAAAGATGCCATTTGAGTAAGCCTTTCCGGTACTTCCAGAAGTTTTTTCGTTAATTCAGAGTAATTTTCAATTTGGTATCAAAAGATTGGTGCAGAAAACCTATGTCACGCTCTCGCTTTACCTTAAGTTCTCATTCACAAATCTATAATCTTGAATTCGCGTATGAAAGTCGAAGTTTTCATTTCTGAGACTCACAAAAGCTAGTTTTCCAAAGGTCAGTAGGCTATCCTTCTCTTACTTATCGCGACCGCCTTTGTATTTCTTGCTTGTAATTAATTGGGTGATTGCATTCTGCCCGTTGATTTTCATAACTTGCAGGATTATTGAGACGCCAGCTGATGCGGCGCCTGTGGCCCCTGCTGCTTACTATCTGGGTCCTTCTGAAGATGGTACAAGGCCGGGGGTGTTTATGGTGAACACTTACAAACACCATACAAGGTAGTATGTCCACAAACATGGACATAAGCTTTCTCATTTTGGGGTAAGAATAAATGCTGTGCGAGTTTTGTTTTCACTGTTTTTCATTTTGTGCTCATCTTTGCTACGTGGCTGTGTACATGTTTCTTCTGCTTTAAACGGGTAGGTTTCTAAGAAAATGCGGTCTGTCCTCTGCCATCTGTTTTGAGTTTAGTTATTATGAGACGCTCCTTTAATAGCTGTTACATAGAGTCGTAGTTCACGACTTTTGTGCCGGGAAGCTTGGTGAAACTAGAGAAACGAAGACCATTCTTTTTAGAAAAAAAAGGCTTACCCTAATATTTATCTGAAACGTGGCCTTTTGCATGGCAAAGCAGGCACTTGTTGAGATCTCAAATAATACGCTCGCACGGGAGAGCGGATACGCTCCCTTCGTCTCGCGCGTCTGACTTCTCGCTTGCATCGGTGTATGAATATTTTTCGTGTTCCCTTTCAGACCTAAATATGAGATGGTGTCTCTTGCCCTACACGAGGCGGTACCAGGACATCACTTACAAGTAAGTACAAGAAAGGGATGTGATGTGCGACACAAGGGACCTTAAAAATAGTGGGAAAACGTTTTTGAGAAATCCATGCGTTTATTATACTCCCTTTTTAAACTATGTTTTAACCCTTTTACTCCCAGGAATGACCAAAAAGGAATTTCTTCCTACAATATCGATACATCTTTAAGCCAAAAGGTGATGAGAAGAGACAAAAATACAATCTACGAGACTACATTTCCTAAGGTGTTGACAAGGAGGATACGTTTAACAATCAAGAGCTTCTTCAGTTGGTGATCATTTCCCTTATTCTCCTGACCTTAATGTGTGATTCAGGAATAATATTGTAAGGAGAAATTATATTCTAGTTATTATTATAGGTTAGAGGGTTAGGCTTTTTAAAGCTGTTAACAGTTGTAGTTGTGAGCAATTGCATAATTTCTAACTTAAAACTGTGCAAGCCATTTTGCATTGATTATCTATTTCGTGGAGACTCAACTGACAAGCATATTTTCGTTTCAGACCGCGTTTGCAATGGAGCAGGAGGAACAACCATCTTTCAGGCGTTATGTGGAAGACAGGAGGTACTATGAAGTACCAGCACGTTTTGCTATGCACACCGCTTACATGGAGGTACCTAATATGCAGTAATGAAACCGGTTTTCCTTTACCTTGTTATTGTCTCCTACTGCAATTTTCAATTTAGTGTCGAATATAATCCCGGGTTGCTTTGGTTTTGCTTTATTTCTCTTTGTAATTGGTTCAGAAAACTCGTGTCACTTTCTCAACCAATCAGATGCAAAACTAAAACCAATCGCGACTTGCGTCTTCCCGCGCTTTGGTTACCTGCGTTTTCCCGCGCTTTGATTACATGCGTTTTCCCGCGCTTTGGTTAGCTTGCCTGTGAGTTCTGAGAGGCTCTCTTCCCTGTTTCCGGTTTGCCATTGGGATTACAGTGGTTTTGGTTTGACGACACTCAATCGAAAAGAGCTCTTTCATCAAAGCTCATTGTCATTTTACAACATGCAATCGCTGTCTCAAGTATAGGGCGTGAAATCTTGGCGGACAAACGCGGCTGTTAAGTTTATGATTATCTTGTCTTTGAACTGAAATTGCGGCTTTTGATTTTCAGGGTTGGGGCTTGTATTGTGAGTTTCTTGGTGAGGAGATGGGTTTGTACCAAGATCCGTACGACCTGTAAGTAGACTGTGATTGTTCAGTAATTATAATGTTACCTGGAGAAGTAGGCAAATTATGCTCACACTCCATGAACGCTACTTCAGGACATTGAATCATAGCTACTAAACTATTAAGAATTCTACTTCATGTAAAATATGTAGAATAATGTTACTCGGAACTGACGTCATCCTGATGATTTGTTTAAGGTTCGGCCGATTGTCTACCGAAATTCTCCGAGCGTGTCGGTTAGTCGTCGATACCGGAATGCACGCCTTCGGGTAAGAAATCAAGGGAAAAAAAACACATTTGAAAGTTAAATGGATTAACGGTTGAGACTGACGAGCAGAGCATTAGGTAAGCAAATTTAATGAACGGACCAACGGATGAATGAGCATGAATACGAACGAAACAAGTAAACAAATACACAGACAGTAGGTAAAATAAGAGGGGTTAGTTTCTAAAGAAACTGTGGTGTTGCGTCGGTGGGAGAGTATAATAGGGTAATTTAGTATTCTCATCGAGTTGATAACATAAATTGGCCACTGTTGTAGCTCAAATATTTTGGCTGGTCGGAAATTGTTGTTCAAATAAGCAAGAGAAGAAACTTCAATGAGCTCGCGCAGGAAATTGCGCTAATTTACTGTCGGTGATGTGGTTTTCTAGTCTGTTTTCATCATGATAACGCCACCGTTTGATTTTCTCACATTTTAGCTGGAGTCGACAACAGGCAGTAGATTTTATGGTGGAAAATACTGCCATGTCTTTTCATAATGTGAACACAGAAATTGATCGATACATCATATGGCCTGGTCAGGTATGTCATGTCTCCTAGAATTGCCTCGTAAATAATCTTTCTGTACATTTGAGATACACTGAAGGCTTAAAACTAAAACTTGTCCTTCCTTTGGAGTCTTCAACGTTCTAGGATACTCCAGTTAAACGTATAGCAATATCATTTTCCTTTGCTCGTAAGTCGCTTATTGTATTATTTGTGCATACTTTGTTGCAGGCGTGCGCTTACAAAGTGGGCGAAATCAAGATCAGGGAACTGCGAAGGAAAGCAGAACAGAAACTGGGTATGAAACTTCAGCTATAGTAAATCTCCCGGAGAACCATATTCCTCTCAAGATCTGAGAGCTAGCTATCTGGATCGAAGTAGAGGGAGCGCGTGAGCATTTCCTGAATAGCAGTAGATAATCGAGCCTAATCGTGAGAGTTTGAAGGCGTGTTAATAGAAATTCCCGCATCTATAATTTTTCTTTATCTCTTACCACCGGTCTGGTTTGCAGTCTATTAAAACTGTTAGTAGAATTTATCGAGGGATTACTCCTAGGAGTGAGAGCGCTGAGTCTGTAACCGCAATAAATCGATTAAGTACCTATCTTCGAGTAGGTCTCGTATCCCTTTGAGCGTATATGATGAAATGTCTGCCCCTCACTTTGTTACATACCCGCCCTTAAATACAACACCTAAACGGTATATGCTTTTTTGTTTATTTCAGGTGATAAATTTGATATCAAAGATTATCACCACGTTTTTCTGTCGGCTGGACCAATGGGCCTTGACACGCTGGAAGAGGCTGTGGACGAGTACATAGAGAACACATTGAACAAGTGAACACACGAGAGAGACACTGGTTCTGTGCGCGAGTCTCGACTGGCCTCGTGGTCCCGAGATTATCACTTGATTCCCCTGTTGATTATTAACACCCCCGGAAATCATATTTCCCCATGATTTTCAATTCAACTCTCATTCAATTCAATTCAACTCTCTCTCTCTCCGGTCATTTGTGAATCCCTGCGATCAACATTCACCTTCATGATTGTAAGCTGAACCCCCAAATTGCTGCAGACGCCCGGGATATCAATCGATACCTTTGATTTAAATTTCACCTCCAAAGATCCTCTCGACTATTATTCATCCCTGTTATGTGTTGTTACCAAACGTATTTTTTGTATTCCTAAGGTGTTTGAGGATGAAATCCCTTTATGACAAGAGATACCCTCACTACCTCTTGCTATCATCCAGTTATCCCAAAATTTCACGTCCGTATAATTAATCAGAATGAAAGCGTAACTGGACCACGCAGAATTGGAATAGAGTCGAGGCCTGAAAATTGGAATTTTCACCACAATTGTTAGGACTAATGCGATATAAAATTGAATAGATGCGTAACTCTGCTATTTTAGAAAATGAGGTAGGAATACAGGTAATATAAATACTTAAAAGGTATAGTTTCTTATTTAAATCGTTAATATTTTTTTACTTGAATTTGTAGTAAAGCTCCCCAAATTTAGAAGAATGTCGTGCTCGTAATCTGAAATGTTATGGTCGGAATAGGAATAGTGAGTTTAAAATCATCTCTTATCAGCGGATTTTTTGGAAAAATTGAATAAAGAAGTTTCGTCTCCACTGACTCAGAGACTGAAACAGTGCAATTCTAATTAAGCATGTGCCGCGATGGAGACGTTTGTAACGTTTTCACAAACACGAAACCGTACAACTTTGTTATTGTCTTTATTGGTAAATAAACTTCTACCAACACGAGAATGATAGTCCTTTATGATATTACTTACAGTAGCAACAAAACTCGGCGAAAAACCATGACTAAAAGTACTTAAAAATGTCTAAATAATACATATAACTTGAATGCCCGTATCTAGCATGGCAGGAAATCTCTGATGTCAGTTATTCACAGTTTTTTCTATAATATTGTTATCCATAAAATCTCTTTACATGTTTAAGGGTAACTCTAGTAACTCTGTATAACAACAGGATTTTTCATTTTTTCATCGGTGTAGAGTCGAGGCCTGAAAAAACAATTATTTGTTGTTAGTTAATACCATACCAGTGAATTGGGGTTTTTCGCGCATGCTGATTGGCTAGTTCGGAAGTGAATATCAGTACTGTTTACGTCAAGAGTTAAATTTCCGACTATTTTTCGGGTATTTGTGTGACATATACTGAAACAATTTTTCACATCAGTGTATTTTAATCTGGATATTTACCTTGCCGCTTTGAGGTTCGGTAAATATCCACCACTATTCACCCCCTTTTCGGTGAATACTTGTCAATTAATACATAACAAATGCGACTCAGTGGGGGAGGATCTCGTGTACTTACGAGGGATTTCGAAATGGGTCCTGAAGAGGGAAATATGCGCGTAGAAGAGAAAGGTCATATTTGTGAACTTGAACTAGTTACTACCATCTTATATGTTACTGAGCATGTGGGTCACTTTCTTTCTTTGTCTTTTTTTTTGAGGGGTGGGGAGGGGGTGGCTCCGTCGCGCTAAGTATTAGGTCATGCATTGCCCGCCTTCACCCAACTGGAATGAAATATTTAGAAAAATTCTCTTGCTCTGCTGTAATCGTACGAGCCTTTAACACACTGTTTGCTCCTCCCTATGTGGAGGCGCCATTAATCACCTTGATTTGGCCCCGTCTCTGGCTCATCTCGCTTGAAGAATGGTTCAAAGCGGTTAAGGTCCTTAGCCGAATCAAGAGTTTCGTAGCTGCATTGGAACGGCAGATCCAAAAATCCCATTCCAGATTGAGCCACGACTTTGTTGTGGAATGACACTGACTTTTCGTAGGTTCTATAAAACGAAAAAAAAAAGATAGCACCATTTTTAAGTTTGTACTTATGGTATGGAAAAACATGATATGTTCGCTGTGTGCAGCAAGAAAAAGCGAAAATCAATAGTAACCTTGCGCCTATTCACTGAAACGATAATATCTATAAAATTTTCAGAATAGTTAGCTTTCATTTCTTTTTTAAGCTTGTACTTATGGTATGGAAAATATATACGACTTTGAGGAAAAATGTAGTCTCCATCCGGTTATTGTCAGAGAGTAATCTCGAAAATTAATTTTTCAAGGTGGAGCTTTGGGCAAAAACGCCATACTTCTGAAGGATAAAAGTATGACTTTTGAACGTACACGAGTACAAAACGAGTCACGGACCGACTCGAAATTTTTCTCTCCGCCATTTACTTAAAAAAAACTACTTCTTACATCTTGGTCAAAACAGTAAAATCGCTTTGATTATTGACTCTAACCCCTCTTCATTGCTTGTACAAATACAATTGTACCTGCGAGTTGTTCCGCATCCTTCCAGCGGTGTTTGAAGCATGACATGCTCATCGTTCATTTGCGCCACTCCGCATCGCTCATCATCGAGGCGAAGTTGCCAGGGATCCACTGAGCGAGGCAGATGTCTCCGTGGAATGAACACGTGCATAGAGTCGACTAAACACATCACCATGAAAGGAGGGTAAGCTGAAATAAAAGGTACATGAATTATTGCAGTTTTTTCCCTTTTTCTCTTTTCCTTCGTGATATCGCAAGCGTAACCCTACGACTTCCGCACCTCCCACGCCATTGTCAAGCTTTTTCTCTTTTCCTTCGTGATATCGCAAGCGTAACCCTACGACTTCCGCACCTCCCACGCCATTGTCAAGCTTAAAAGAACTTCAGCTTTAGTTGTTGAGCTTTCTTCATTATTATTTTATCCTCGTACTCATATCTGATGACACCATTACGTTACTCACCTTGGGCTCGCTTCTCTGCTGCACCTCTTCGCTTGTGGAGCAGTTGAAAGTTATTCAGCACATTCTGGACAGAATCGAGACGTTGGTAATTACATTTGTAAGGGAACGCCTCATCCCTGCGTGGTATTCTTTGCGGGATACATATAACGATAAACGGGTGTTTAGCTGCCAAAAAAGTATGGATAAGTAAATAAACCAATAAATGAACAAGTAAATAAAGAAGTACGTAGGTAAATACATAGGAAATTAATAAAATGATAATTTTTATAAAATATGCAATGACAGGAAACAAAAAAGGCAGTGTCAAGTTTGAAAAGTAATGTATCGCTTTTCTACTCCGAGCTGCACATGGCAGCTCCACAGATCGTGTTCACTATGTAGCCTGTGAGCATGGGCTTATTATCAGCGCTTCAACACGGGCGTGTCTTCAACCGAAGAAAATTAAAGTATGAAGCCTTAAGCTACGCGAGCTGGTAAGAGATCTAGCGCAAATTTTTAGTGCCAGACCAGCTGCGAACCTCTCCTCGATTCGTCTTAAATCTTCAATCTTTCCGCGGACGGGAAAACACGCGCGTCCTGCGGTGCTAATATATAATGACGGCCTGCTCGCAAGTTACATGCAACTTTTTGTTCACGACAGGAGATTTGCAGATCTTCCTTATATATTCTGTATAATTTCACCTCCTCGCGCGAAGAGACGTTATGATAATAAAACAGTTTCACCAAAACGTGTTGAAATCGACAGTTGTTGAAAAGAATTAATTTTTAAAATTAAATCGCCTATAATCTAAGTTCAAATCAAACAAAATACTTTATTTGCGGCAGATGCTGGACAAACGGAGGGAAAAATAAAAGGCAAAATAAAACCGCATTTGCTCTCTTTATCAGCCTTGTTTGACATATGATTCTCCCGTGTGTTTCAAAAACCGCATAACCTGTAAGAAAGCTAGGTTCAATCATTAAACAAATTTTGATATCACCTCAAAGAGGAGTAGATAATTATCAATACAAATCAGCAGACGGGGGACACCAGGATTGCGGTTAATTTTTATCGAGTTTCGATCATGTTGAGTGGTACAAAATTGAAAAATCGCATGTCTTACATATTTTATAAATCTAATCATAGACATAAAATCTAAACTAATGTAAAATTTGATAAGGTTTTGAATAACCAATATGGCGGCGGGATCTCAAACTCATCAAGGTTACCCTTGAAACCTTTGTAAAAAATATCGTTTCAAAATATAGTTCGATTGTTTGATTACGCCATATTAACTTCAGAAAAATACAAGAAAAGATATTATGGCGAAATTGGATAAAAAATTAGATATTATTTTCCAGCTGCCACACGTGTTCGGAATCTCTTTCATCTAAATTGCCAAGCCCGATGTGAACAAGACAACTTTACCGCAAAGTACATATTATCTCAACCAGGAGAAGCCTATGAACTATAAAAGAAATAAAGCATTATTCTTCAGTTCAACTGCAAGTTCTAATTCTGACCGTTGTATTGCACCTTGTCAAATAGCTGTTCAGATATGTTTAAGATGCAATTTTTCTTTGGAGTTCTTTTCGCAATAATTCTTATGTCAAAGCACGTCAGTTCAAACGCTGAAATCCAGGAAAAGGAATCTGCACATCTCAGCAACGACTATGGTAATTCTCATTTTTTTTTCTTTTTTCAATGGAAAGTGCCTAGCACGTGGGATTACATGTGGAAAACAAACCATAAGGAATACAGTAATACAGTGTGCGCTCTTTTCTTTTTTTTCATTTCAAATGCTTTTAATTTGTTAACGTTTAAGTTTAATTTCTTCCCAATTAACGTACTGCCAAAGTTGATACGCTTTAGTCATCTCGCCTAGCAATCAGATCATTACTTTCTGCTTAGCAAAAAAAATTAAATGTATAGATAAGATTACTTTGTAATATACTTGGATTAGTTTATCAAGGAGAAAATTGGCCCCGAAAATTGGTCGCGAATTTCTGGTAAACAAATTAAACATGGTATGTTCGCTGTGTGCAGCAAGTAAGAGCGAAAATCAAGAGTTGCCTTGCGCTCATTCACGGAAACGATGATATCTATAAAAGTTTCAGAATAGTTAGTTTCCATTTCTTTTTTGGTTCATCATTAGTTGTTCAAGTGTAAAAACTAAGCCTCGAGGTTAGAACTTTAACGAAACAAAAGCAGGCTTGCGAATGATTCCACGCAACTTTTTTTTCAGATTGTATCGATCTTAAACCTCGCATATGTGCGGCTTTAGTCCCTCGCTGTTCAGATGTCAGAAACATAGCTTTCCTATACACGAACTGCAAAAGAACTTGTACTTTCTGCTGAAAGATGGTAAGCGTCCTGAATAAGATCACAGGTGTGTTTACAATAATTGTTGAAGGTGCAACCAAGCGATCGATCATTGACATTTGGATTTCTTGACTTTAACGCTCGGAGGAAAAGAAAATGAGTTCTGATTTACATCACTCAGGATTTTTTCAGTTTGACGTAACGCGATTGTTAACATGCAATTTAAGTTACACTCAACAAGTTCCGTTTTCCTGTTCCCTGTAGTTTCGTTTGAAAATTATTTTTTAACTGTTTATATCAATACAGCATTGCTAAAACCCAGCCTGATCAATACACGCTTCTAACTGAGACCATGAATATCTCATTTTGCTCATTCAGGACTTGCAGAAGCTGATCTAAGCAATCAAGATGCTTAGATATTCAAAGATTCTGCCCATCAAACCACATCACAGTTTTACAACACAAGAAAGTTTTGCTCGTAAATGATGATAACTGTATTATGATTTTATCGTGCATTTTAGATAAAACTTTCATCTAAAGTTGTGTACTTCTGCTTTTGGCTTCCTATGTATTTGAGTGATGATATTAAGTTATTTAAAACTTTTTGCGCACACTGGAAATAAGCGCTTTCCTTTTTTTCCCCTTGTTTATTCTGCTTGATAACGGAACCAGTACGCAGTACTCGAAAAAAAAAAACTGCAACTTGGTCATCTTGCAGCAACGGAGCAATTTTCAATACAGGTCGAGAGCAAACCGCCGTCACATTCGTTTTGCTTCACTTCCCTCTGTGATTGGTCCACAAAATACGCCCGACCTTCATAAAAGACAAAGAGCAGTCGCGCCTTTCCTAATAGGTCATGCGCACTCACACTTATCCGCGCTAGAAATACGGTAAATAAAGAGTTTACTCCGAGTTCTTGTCGGTTGCTCGGTGATTTTCTTTTGCCCTCATCGGCTGATCCGCTTACTTCGTAAGAACAAACAAAAACAAACAATCAAACAAACAGAAAAACGCCACCGTGACGTGTTTTTATTCGGTTTTGTTACGGACAAGTATAACTGCTTTTTGTATACATTAATATTAAACAACACAGTACAACATCACACTTACCGATTGTTGTTGGAATCGGGTTCGTTGTTGGCCCTGGTGTTGTTGTCGTACCTTGTTTTCCAACACCACAATAGCGGAGTTTACATTTCGGTGCTCTTTGTAACTTGTACACATAAAAATCACCACAATTTCTGACTGAGATTTGACTGCGCCATCTACAGCATTTGTTTCGCCAGCTGAAACACACCGTTCTTGTTACGACTCCGTCAGACACTTCTGGATGAGCTCCTAGCAGCCATCCGGGGGCATGAGTCCCACAGTGATAAGGAGGGACACATTCGTTTGACATCTTGTCTCCCGCCAATCCTGAGAATCGGTACCAGGCCTTGGGAAGCCTTCGGTCACAGATGGGCTTGGCGTCTTGCACGTTCTTGTATTCGTAGGTTTGTGAACGATCTGCATCACTAATGACCTTGTATCTGGAACATTCTTTGAACAGAAGAGAAAGGACAGATACGTGTACGTTCTGTGATTTTCAGAATAAATTCTCAAGTTCAAACGGTTGGTTCTCTGGTATTTCGCTCGCTGGCGAGACACCACACAAAGAAACGTATTAATTTAACCCTTCACACCCTAACATCAGTAAGCATATTCTCCATACTGTTCAACATATCTTTCCTAAAAAGCTGTCAAGGTGAATTCGTGCAACGATCAAGAGCTTCTTTAGCCCTTAATGTTTGATTCAAGGGCGATCTGCCCAGGAGAAATTAGTTGCCAATCACGCTTAGGGGTTAAAGGGTCAAATGTCAAGCGTGAAGATAACAATTTGTAAGGACACACCTCGGTACAATAATAGCCAAAACGTCACCGTACGCAATATTCTTCGCGTTAACTCTTTGACCCTAAAAGTGATTAGCATCTAATTTCTCACTACAATATCACCCCTGAATCAAACATTAAGGTCACAAGAATAAAGGAAATGATCACCAACTAAAGAAGCTCTTGATTTTTAAGCAAATTCTCATTGTCAGCACCTTAAGAAATTTATAAAGATGAGTATGGAGAATGTACGTACTGATGTTAGAGTGTAAAGGTTAACTTACCAGGAGGAAGTGAAGGGGTTGCGGGCGCTTTGGTCGTCGATGGCGTACTCGTCATTGGCTCTAAAGTAAAACAGTGACACGAAAAATTGAAGAAAGGGAACGATTCATCGCTAGCCTAAAAAACCCGCCGCCTACTTCGCTTAACACACTCTAAGCTCTGACGAGGGTAAAACGCTCGAAACAGCAGCTTCAGAAACTCTCTATGGTAGGAAATTTATGTTATCAACCCAGTTAATAGCACCAAATTACAGTCAAAGAAGGTCGGATATAGTTATCAATACTACAACTACTGACTTGGTTATCTTGTGTGTAAAATAACATAAACTACTATCTAGCTCCGAGATTAACAATTATTTGAAGGTTATGGCGTTCACCTCCGGATTAAGGGATCATTCAGAATGATTGAGAGGAGATGAATTGAGTAAAAGATCAGTGTTTATTATAATGAGCCAGCATCATATCCTCTAAAAGCCTGTGTGAATTATGAAGTATGTGAGACGTATTAGTTTGATTAGCTAGATGTTAGCGCCCAGGACTCCAGAAGAAAAGGTTCACTTTTGAGCTTCGGTTAAATAATTGTGTTGCATTCGTTTGCATAAAGATTTAATCTCACGGAACCTTCCTCTAACCAAGGGTATAAATGTCAGGTACCAGGCAATTTTCAGGAGGAAACTTCACGAGATACGTAGGTTAATAAGATGCAATAACCTGCCATGAACCCCATCTAGTAGGAGCAATAATCTAGTCAACCCGGTAAATGGAACTGATTCCTATGGTTCAATGGGCTTTATCGTTGCGGTTAACCATACATAGCGTTTCTCTGTTATTGTTTCTCTACCTTGCCTGTTTCCGCAGTAACGAAGGCTGCAGGCAGGAGTCTGTTTCAACTGGTAAACATAGAACCCCCCGCAATTCCGAACTTTGACTTGGGATGACCAAAAACAGCAGGTTGATCCCCAGTGAAAACAAACTGTAGCGTCAACAACCCCTTCTGTTACTAAAGGATGACTTTTACTTAACCAGCCTGGAGCATGGGTTCCACAGCTAAATTTGTCTACACAGCGCTCAGGCATCTTGTCGCCGGCTCCTCCACTAAATCTGTACCAGGCTTTTGGCAGTCTGTTGTCACATAGTGCTTGACGGTTCTTGCTTGAATATGTTACAGCTCTGGTAGACTCGTTCAGGGATTTGTAGTTTAGACACTCTTATTGACATAAGAAAAAAAAATGAGACTTTGAAAAAAACCCCGTGCGTACATGTAGTGATAACTGAAAGCGAAAACCACGTGTAGCTTTCTCATGAAGGATAAAAAACTAGGCGTTGTAAACAAAGAAACAAGCGAAAAAAGTAAACTGTACCTAAAGGGGCTGAGGGAGTTGTTGGAAAAGTTGGACCAGAACTTGTCATCAAGGTCGTCCCAGTTGTCGGAGCTAAAGAAGCGAAAAAAGAGAAAAAAAAAAGGGAGAAAAAGTGTCAGTTGACCTTCAAGTTAGTGACCAAGTTGCGATTGCTTTTAGTTATGATTCTGATTGGTTGAGAGTGTGGCGTGAACTCTATTAACCAATCAAAAAGCGAAGTAAAGCGAAACCAAAGCAATCGTGGATTACTTTCAACGCTCAACAAAGTTGAAAATTCTTCTATGTCCTCGATGATGATTCTAACCATACTCTCTTTTTCAATTGCAACAACATCAACAACATCAACGCTGCGTAGATGTTCACTTCAGGAAAGATGTCTCTTTTAGATTACCTGAAGTAGCCGAAGTTTCGGTGGTTGACAGCCGGGTGGTTGTTTCTGTAAAAATGGGGATGTAATAACACATTTTCAACAGAAATATGATAGGATTTAAAAAAAGACATAAGTGCCATTGTAGACAATGTTTTTCAGGAACTTCGTCGGACCAAGTATTCGTGATTGAAAATAGCATTAAATAAACGTACGAAGCAATTCAGCCTTTGAAAGCCCAATGCCGGGGTTAAGGCTAACGGAAAGATTCTTTGGCGTTCCTTGTTGAATTATTACGCAACGAGAGGTTGAAGAAAGGAAAGAAGAACGAGAAGGGAAACAATAACAACAACAACGACAACAAGATTCTTGTGTTTTCTGTTTACCTTTCTGTCCCGTTGTTGTTTTAATGGTCGACGCAAACGTAGTAGTTTCTGTGTAAAGAGACGTTTGACATAAAATGTGAAGCTTTGAGGGAATTCTTGGATCGTTATGTCAAATAAGCCTCAATTTTGTAGATTTATTTTTAATTTAGTCTTTTGAAGCCTAATGCTGCGTAAAAAGTAAGAGCGAAAAGATTCGTGTCCTCTAATTTTCAATCAGTTAGCTACGCGAAGAATATTAAGAGGACTAAGGAGAAAAGGAAGGAAAACAACAACAACAACGACAAGGGTTAAGTAGCAACAACAACGTACAATAACATCAACAACAACAACAACAATAACAGGGGTCTTTTATTATCTGTTCACCTTTCGGTCCCGTTGTTGTTTTAGTGGTCGGTGCAAATGTCGTAGTTTCTGTGGAAAAACAGGACTTGACGTGAAAAGCATAGCTTTGGCTAAATTATCGGCCAATTTTATCTGCAAGCCTTGATATTGACAATTCCTTTCAAATTTTTCTGTGAAAGTCGAATACCACTGTAAAACTCAACAGTAAACATTCTTATGCTTTGTTCAATTAATAAACTACCCAAAGAAGAAGAAAAACAACAACAATCATAGCAAAATCAACAACATCAGCCACGACAATGGCAAAAACAATAATCATAACAGCGATAGGAGTCTTTTATCATCTGTTTACCTTTTAGTCCCGTTGTTGGTTTTGTGGTCGGTGCGGATGTTGTAGTTTCTGTGAAAAGACGACTTGATATTGAGTGCGAAGCTGTTAGTGAATTCTTGACTTACTTTTTCAAATAATCTTCAGCTTAGATCATTTCTCCAAAACTCTTTCATTTGCTTATCTTTTAGGTTTCTTTTCACTCGAGGAGAAGTGACAGGTTTACGAAGAAAAAAGTCTTCGATTGAAGTAACACATTTCATAGGCTAGGCTTCACGAAACTGATTAACTCAGTCTGGCAAAGTGACGCTTTCAGTTTTGAATGAATGTTAAAAAATTCCATCTTACCTGGTTCAGTTGTCGTAACTGTCGTTACTTTGGGCGGAGTTGTCGGTTCTGGAACTAGGTAATTTCGAAAGATGTATTAATCAGAGTAGCTATGGAGTCGTTTGACTGAAGGGCGTTAAAGGCAAAGAAATGCAAGGGAAGAATGCTGGAACAGTATTTTCTATGCAGAAAATGCATTAAAAATACAGTAGTTTGGTATTGTTGAGCCAAGTAAAGTTGTAATAAGAATCCTTAGGAAGATAACAGAGCAAAGAAAAAGTAAGAGACAAGGTTAAGTCGGTTTTACATCGATTGGTGTGGTCGATAAATACTATCAACTGTCCTTAGTTAACCGTACCTTTCCCATTGCCACAGTAGCCCAAGTTACATGTCATTGTCGGGGAAAGGAAATAGACATAGAACGCCCCACAGTTACGCACCAAAACAGAATTCCGCCAGGAACAACAACTTCTCCAATGAAAGCACACGTCACGGCTCACTGCCCCTTCATGCACAGCAGGGTGAGGACCGTTGAGCCATCCCGGGGCATGGGTACCACAGTGACGTACAGGGACACACGAAGTCGGTATTCTATCCCCAGCACGTCCTGAGAACTTATACCATCCTGGTTGCAATTTGTCATCACATAAGCCTAATGGCTCATTGAATGTTGCAGATCGATTGATAGAAGTTAAAGTGATGTAGTTCTGACACTCTGCAGTTGAAACAACACATTTTAGGTGAACAAATTTGAGTATATTTTATGGATCGGATTCTATCTTACGGGAAATTTTAATAGTTTTGAATGTAGGTAACGAACTCTGAAAATTTTAATTTTACTTTAAACGTTTCCTACATCGGTTTGTGGAAAAGGAGAGCCTCTATACTTATGTTTGTTCTTTGATGATTGGATTTTTAGTTTCAGGAATATCTATGGATTATCATCAACTCCTCATGGCAGAAAAAAAAATGAATGAATGATAAAGAATGAATGATTTTGAAAAAATTATGAGATGAAATGAAACAAGATGAAATGATTAAAATGAAAATGAAATGTAATGAAAGGTTCTTAATTGGAAGTTTATTGCGAGCAACGGGCAAGAACACTGAGTCATAAAATAAACCTACCTAGAGCGATCGTTACAGGTTCTGTGGTTGGTACTTTAGTTGTAGGTTCTTGGAAGTAAAAAACAACACAAATTGTGAGATTATGTCAAAATTTGTCGCCACTACTATGAACATAAACTATTCTCCAATGTTACTACACGAACTCCAAGCCTTCAACTTCTCACACCTTGCCACGTACCTGTGGATCAGGTAGAGAATATGGAACCGCCATTTAAAAATATAAAACGGAGCGAAACATCGATCAATCCCAATAGTTCTACCTAATAATTTTGCCCTTTCACCAGTGTGGTCTAGTATTTATCACACAGTCCCAAAGTTTTATTTTTCATGCGCTGATTGGCCAGCTCGGAAGTGATCAGCAAGTATTATTTACCTCCAAGTAACCGTGGCGACAAAATCGTGCCTCAAGAGTTTTTTTCTTCTACTTTGATATTTTGATAGAAATTAACTAAATTCTTTTTGGGCCCGGTATAGTGTAGACCAAAACAATGATTAATGACAGTGATGGAGATCTACCTCCATCGGTGAATTTTTGTAAATCACGTCCCGTTGTTCGCCATACATGGGGAAAACTGCCTTTGTTAAAATCTTCCCAAAACATGTTCAATTCTCAATAAGGTTACGAACTAACCATCTAGGATGATTTTGAACACCATGTTCTCTTCCCTGCCTCCTAAACCTACTCCACATCCGCTTGATACTCCGTCACTGTCATATGTTTTAGCAGCATTTTTTCCACTCCAACACTGTCCGTACGACTGAAGACCAAACGCGGTATAACCTTTATCACTCGCCAGCTTTGCACACTTCTTTATAACCTTGTTGGGGTCGTACCAGTCCACCTCACTAGTTAAGTCTGCTAGTAATTCAGGTAGGGGTCTGGGATCGACTTGGCTGTCTTTAAAACACCCAAGTGTTTCATATTTAATTTGCTGCTGGTCTGCACAGAAAAAAATACAAAGAAAAAGAGAAAAAAAAATTCACAGGACGTTTCAAGTGGTTAGAGTGCCACAATTTCATATCTCAGTATCCTCTCACTTTCGACATCTCAAACATCACTGGTTTGAGGTTATGGGCCATTCGATGACTGAAATTCTTTCTGGTTTGCGTATAATAAATGCGATCACGTTAAATTTGAAGGCACAACCTCACCTGTTATTGTTTTCTCCACGATGCTCAGTGGCTTGAAGATCGTTGCAATAGGTTGGATAATGTCGGAATCATTTAGATATGAACTCTTTTATCAATCCTTATGATTCTCCGAAGGATTAAAACCTCATATCCATAAGTTTATCAGCGGTCAATTTGTCATTTCGTACTTGTTATCATTTTTTAAAAATTTTTTAAAATTTTATGACTACATGCAAATCATGTTTTTACAGGTAGGATATCATTACTATAGTTATAAAAAATTTTTACAGGTTAAGAGCCATGTTCATTTGATGGAGATATTATGAATAAACCATTAATGTAATTAACTATTATTAAACGTTATTAATCTTGCACTACTTCGGGGATTGTGTGATGCAAACTACATAAATTCGACATCGAGTACGCTATTGGATGAATGCAGATACGATAATTGTCTATATATTTTAATCCTGTTTCCAAAGTGTACTTATATCATAAATGAAAATAAGAATTCATTCTATGAAGTGTACCTATGCCATAATATGCGATCGATAAGAAGTCTTGCTTCCCGCTTGTGCGTGACGGTGAGAATCACGCACATCTTTGGTGGAGTGCTTACAATATAATTCTTTGATTGCCGAAAATAAATAAATAAGCAAATGAATAGATAAATAAACAATGGCAATGTCTCTAGTATTATAAGCAAAAATGGTCAAGTCATCGTATCACTCAACGAACGTTCATTAGTTTATCGTAGACTAATTTTACATCTCTAAAAGTTGTGGTTTAAAATAAGATTCGAGAATTTTATTTAATTAATTCACCTGATATCGAATTTTGTTCATTTTATATATAGCAGTGTTATAGACTGTACCGTGAAGCCAATCTTGTGATACAGTCACAGTGGAATATTAACCGTTGTCAAATCCATCGTATGGTCTCTTATTTCTCTTGTTATAGGTTTAATCTGAAGTCAGCAGCCACTTGAATCTTTGAGTTATCTTTGAAAACACTTTGACACTGAAACAAGTATCTTTTTTTGTAGTTGTCACAGTTGACAAAATTAATTAACGGTTTTACGCGGGAAATTATGAATACAAAAAAAAGACTGATCGTGTCCTCAAATATGTCCCCTTCTCTCTTTTTTCTTATTTTGAGAAATTATATTTTACTCTTCATTTGATAATAGGTGAGAGGAAGACTATCAATGGAAAATATATAGGGAAACAAGAATATTTTTTAATTAAAGGAGATGACGTGGAGATGACTTATTTAGGCAACTTCGCCATGTAACAATATCATTTAGAATTAAGTGAGTTAATGCTGTATAAAATGTCATCAGAAACGACAACTTAATTCGTAAATCTGACGTTAACCATGGGCATTAGTTCACCAAATGTTCTTTCAAAGAGACGTTTTTTTTACTTAATCACAAGACAATTCCATACTGTAAAACATTCTAAACATTCCTAGTTGTTATACGCTATTCTTAAAAAAAAGATTGACTTCGTTTAGGAATATCACCAACGTCTACAAAAATAATATAATCTTACCTTCGTATCCGAAGTTGCAATGGAGGAAAAGTAATATCAAAAAACTCTGGATGTATTTCATCTTATTCAAACCTCTAAATGAACAAGAATGATAAATGGCGCGATTCGAAAGATCGTGAAATATGCTTCTAACTCTGCCAACCGTTTCGTGCAATGATTTGGGAGAGTCGGTTGTCAACTGCCCAACCTCTCATATTATCTCTGTCTGTTGTGATACGCGACACCTTAAATTTGACCTTAAATGGCTGCGTGGCTGCTTCCGTTGTTATGTCACCTCCACGCCCTCCAGAGAGTCGTCATTAATTCTTAATTAGGAAAAAAGTTAAAAATGTAATATATTCCAAACACACCAAGCAGTTCGATCACAGTCGAACACCGTGAGTAAGAACGAAATTTTTCCTTATACAGATTTTTCTTACGTCAAATTTCTTATAGAATTTATTTATAAAACGTTGTCTAAACATTTCTCTCCGCAAAAATTTATCAATATGATTTAATCTCATGAAAATTATATCTGCTAAGCCTCTTGTGGAACAAGGAAAATGTTATTTTAACTAATGCAAATAAACATTCTGAGACGCGTGGGTTTCCTAAGGTAGATATAAATCAATGCTAGAGCGAAGCGTTTTTCGTTTTACCAGCGTGGCACTCAAAAGCATTTCTGTCATCAAATGAACCAGATAAGGATCCGGCCTCATCTATTCGATATCGAAGGAGAAATAAACACGGAATAAATCCCCCAGGGAGTTGAGAACACGCAGACTGTAGCTGACTTAAGAAAAATGGTGGAAGGCGACGCTAGAGTCCAGTCTGCTCTCGACTTACTATTAGCCCGTGTGGATTAAGCAACGCGAAAAGGGGAAAACGTTGACTCTTGAAGATTAAAAAATATAAATATATATAGAGGAAGTCTGCAAGTCGATTTTCGCGTGGAACAGTGCTCAATACGTTGAAGCAGAGCAGAATAAATATGATGAGAGGGAAAAAGGGACGCAACTACATTTCCCGACAAGCCTGTTTCGTGAATCGCTTCACTGAACCCCTGAAGAGTTAAGCGATTCACGAAACAGGCTTGTCGGGAAATGTAGTTGCGTCCCTTTTTCCCTCTCATAATATTTATATATATATATTTATCGAACCTTTTATTTTAATTCCCCCAGATGTTCTCCAACAGTGTCTGTTTCGAAAACTACAATAATACTCGTTACTTCATGGTCAGCGTTTTGATATTCCAGCCAAGATACCAAGATCAAGACTTTAGTCAGACCGGTCCTACTATATGGTTGTGAAACATGGAAGATCACAAAGAACGATGAAAGAAAACTGAACAGTTTCCAATGTAAATGCCTAAGACGGATTCTGAGGATTAGATGGCAGCAAAGAATGACAAACAAGAGAGTAGTTGAAACAGCAGAGATCAATGAAATTAGTCGCGAGGTGCGAAGAAGGCGGAAAGGTTAGGACAAGTACTCAGGAGAGAGGATATGAACGACTGTTTTACGGTATTGGGGCGGACACCAGAGAGTCGAAGGACAAGAGGGGGACCAAAGACCACTTGGGGAAGGACTGTCGAAAGAGAGAGAGGTAAGGTAGGGTAGAAGAGTTGGAATGTGGCCAGAGCGGCGGCACGCGACGGGGGCGGGAGTTTAGCGGACAATGTAACGGCCTTATCCGCCTCCTGGCGCAACGAGCGATGATGATGATGATGATGATGATGATGATATACAGTTCATGGTCAACGTAGTTCCGGTAATAAGGATCGATTTTCCCTGTTTTCTTAGCCGTCTCACCAAAAACTGAGAAACAGATTGGTGTCAAAAACAACAATTTGTTTCATTTAACAACTAAAATTCACTGGGTCTGAGCAGGACCTATGACACACTGAAGGACAATGATCCACAAAAGACACAAAAGGTTAGCTTATAAAGTCATCTTAATGGAATGAAAGTATGTTGTGGATTACGAACCTGTTAATGGTAAGTTGATTTCCTCTGAATTCAGGAATGGCTCCATTGAAAATATTTCTTAGTCCTTGATGATAATTTCCACTGTAAACAAAGCATGTACAAAGATTTATAGAGCAACTAACATTAATCAAAAACCGCGCAACAGTATCAAAAAATCTGAAGCCGCAAAAAAGCAGAATGGGTCTGCGTAAATGAAAGAGCAGCCAAGCGACCTTATGAGGCAGCCAGCATTGTGTAAAAGCCAACACAATAGTAAGGCCCAGCTTGAGCGAATTTTGTTTCTTTTTCAACCGTTGTTTTTCGGTTTTTCATATTTTGTTTGATAAGTATAAATGTTAAAAGTCTTTCGTGTCACTTTTTGTATTTTACGATGGCATAAGAGTCTCAATGGGTTGAAAGCTTTTACGGCTAACGTTTATATGTGAACCAAATGACACACTGAAGAAAGGAAAAAATATACGGTTTACTCTTTTTACGACTAATGGTTAAAATTTGTCAATTTTTACGCCTAACGGCTAAATTGTATGGCCGTTTTACAGCTAAAAGTTAATCCCCGTGAGATCCTCTTGCAAATGTGTTTGTGTTTACGATGAACGTGAGAGCAGATGACTCAAATATAAATATTTCATTGTAAAATAATAGCTTTAAAGCTATTTTCTATAATCAGCAATTAAAATTAATGATTTAAGTAAACTGTTAAATGACATGTCCTATTATCATCTTGTACGCATCTAATCAGCTGCTTATCAGTAGAACGGATAAGGAGTTACACCACAGAAACAGGTAAATAAAAGATTTGTTCACAATGCAATGAAGTGTCTTTGTTCTGGCGTATTCCAGTCTCGTGGTAATGTACAGGAAATTGTTAAACATTTTTCCTTCATTTGCTTGGCTCAAAATCTGCAGCGGGCACAAAAGTAAACTAAAGCATCAAATTAACTACAAAGAATCAAAAAGGACTCAAAAATTCGTCACATCTTAAGACATACTTAAAGTTTTAGTATTTCTCCAATTCGCAATCTTTCATGTTCAATCTAACTTTGACAAATTTGAATATTTAATTTTTTTTTTTTTTATGTGCCTAAATTAATGTTAAGACTTGGGCTGTGACTTTTGCAAAGTCCATTGAAAAGACTCAGATATAAATGATTTTCATGCTAAGACTAAAACAGCATTTTTAACTTTGTTTTCCCATAATGCTTTTATTTCTTAGAATCGAACAAAGACTGGGCTCTTATTCAAGAACGTCAATGAAGTGTTCTTTAAAAGTGAATTTGCACGTAACAATTCATTTGTTTATTTTTGTTATATTGCGTATAATACTTATGTTACACAATGCAACCTCCAATACTGTTCCATGTCTTGAAATAATATTCTGTTATGATAAATTTTCCACTTTAATGTAAATCAATAAAACATATATAACAAAAGATAGTTTCTGTTCCTATGCTTTACCATACGACTGGCTACAGCTGAGAAACACTTCAAATCAGGGGAAAAGAACTTTTCAGTCATATCATATAAAATATGGGATTAAATGGGATTTAACTGTGAAGAAATTTTAGTTAAAGTTTCAGAAAAAAAAGCCCAAATTTGCTAATGGCATAAAATAACCAAGGGTCGTTGAGAGTCAAGGGAATGAGTTATGTTTTCCTGCATGCATAATGATAAGCATAATAGCGTAAGTGTATCGAGGTTCATCTCAGCTCTTCAGATGTCTGTTTTCAACCTAAAAGTCATAAAAAATAACAAATAAAAAAGATAAAGTGACTTTTTTAAAACAAAACACCACCTTTTGGACTTTTTCTGGCCCAAATTTTTTATTTTTCCAAAGTCTGGTGTTATTGATAAAGTCAAATGCCCTGATAGGAGAAAGAGCCGTTGACCATTTTTCCGAAGAAACCGACAGTCGTTTGGCTGCGTCGGTAAATTTTGGTCAAGGTAAATATTAATAAATTCAGTCTTCCATACTCTTTAATGGTCTTGATAAATAATTCATTTCATTAGTTTCTTGAGATTTAAGAAATCCTAAACCTTTGGACTGCGTGACCCGAAGCTCTATCACTGAGCTGAAGACAGCTCTGTCTCATGGTGAGCCATTGGTAGGTTCCTAAAACACACACGTCCTACACACCACTAGGCGTCGTATGAATATGTAGAAAAAGAATTGTAATGAATCAATAATAAGGTAATAATGATCAAATGATAATAATTATAACAGTAGTGGTAAAGATTACGTAATCAACGTGGTTTCCCAATTTGATACAAAAGAAGTGAAAAAGATCAAGAGAAGATAGAACATCACAAAACTCTAAGGGACCAGGTCATTATTTATCACCTGACGGGGGGAGGGAGGATCATGTAAATTACAACTGCAGAGGAGGGGGAATCATTAGATTACCGCGGGGGGGAGGGGGGGGGGGAAATCAGGAAAATTTTAATGTGTCACATGTACAATCAAGATCGTCCGATGAAAAATTTGATAATTTATTTCATTTTTCCAAAGAACCCTTCTGATGAACTATTTCCCAAAATTACACAAAAAAATCATATCGCTTTGCTTTCTTCGAAAATCTAAAGTTCACACTGACACAGCTAGACTGCCGTCCCTCCTCCTTCCCTTTCGTGTTATGATGAGCATTGTGAGCCCTTGAATTAATTGTACTATGTATCTTTTTGACCGTTTTATAACAAAGGTCAACTTTAAAGGCATATGAAAAGGCTATGCCTTTAAAGTTGACCTTTGTTATAAAAAAGCACTCGACGAATGCAGATACAGGTACACTCTACACTACGAACCACCTACGACTGACAAACGAAAAAACAGACAACGGAACATCATACTCTGGTACAACCCCTCATTCAGCAAAAACATCAGCACCAATATCGGACACAGTTCCTTGCCCTAGTAGACAAGCACGTCCCGAAAGACCACAAACTTAGAAAAATCTTTAATCATAATACAATCAAGATCAGTTACAGCTGCATGAATAACACCAAACAGATCATCGACAACCACAACAAACGCATTCTAAATTCATCCAAACACATCAAAGACACCGCAGCTAACACCAAAAGACACCAAAACTTGCAACTGCCGACAGAAGAACACATTTCCACTTAACGGAAACTGCCTGCAATCATCTCTAATCTACCAAGCCGCCGTCACACGTAAG